CATTAACTTCTCTGCTTTTTATCCAAAACTTTGATATTCAATTTAAAGTTTTACGCTGGTAACATCAGTATCTTGTAACACCAGTTAGTGGGCAATAACACCTCTTTGTCATGCTGGTGTCAGGTTTTTTATTTCTAAACAAAACTGAAATCTATTTCTTGTTGTTGGAGCTTATGTTTTAGCTGAAACCATAATACAAAGTTTTGAAGTACGAAAGTTTGTGTTAATGAGAGGAGAAGCTACAGGGTTGTTTGGTCCTTTTTTTTTTTTTTTGGGAGTATTTAATTTGCACTAAGCCAGTGTGTAAAATTTGCAGAATGTTTTGGGTTAAAAATAGGAATGTGATCAGAATGAAACACTTTGTGCATGTCTTTGTTCTGTTGTTCCTTAAATGCTTTTCCTTTCACATTAAGGGGATGTGTTTTTAGATGTGGATAATTAAAAAAAAAAAAAAGCCACAGGAGTGTGTGGTAGTGAGCAAAGCTGTTAACTTTCTCTCTTGTAAGTCAAAGAGCAGTCATGCAGTCACTGGTTTGGTGATGAGTGGGTGTATATGTTTGAATACAATGTTAGTATTTTACTGAATGCTATAAGATCACCCGGTTGAGTCTGTCTATAAAGTTCTCTTTTAAAAACCACTGATTGGACTACATCAGCAACTGATATAAAATAATACCATTCACAAATAGGAGGTCTGTCTTTCTCTTAATTGTAATGCTGAAGGTAGGTTTCCAACCTGCACCATTAAGGGTTTTTGGCAGATAAAGTTTGGAGTAAAGACTGTTTTCTCCTGGAGGTTTAGTGTTCACTTAGAGGTCTCCTTCTTGTGTATTTCATGAAACAAAATCTGTTTTCTGATGGAAACAGTAATTGAGCAGTTCATCTTAGTGAATTTTTTTTTGTTATGATTTGTAAAAACTGAATACTACTTCATCTAGTTTTTCTTTATTTCTTTGGATGAAGCTTTGCTGTAGCAAAGGCCTACTTCGTTGGTGGAGAAAGAAGCTTTGAATATGCACCTTTACTTGAAAATGGCCTTGCTTAGATCTTAATGTATTCTGAAATTTGTTTACTTGATTCTAGTAGTCGTGTACTACAACTTTGTTTCTTTGTTTCAATCACCTGATTTCTGCTATTGATATGCAAATAGGAAAAATCACCCTTGGTGATCTATCCTCCTCACACTTCTCTTACAAATGAAGTTATTCGACTAAATGTAGTACTTCATTACAAAGCTTACTGCGCTTGCTGCCAGCTGCTTCCAGTGCTGCCACTTCAGCAACGGTGGGAAGAGGCAGTCAGTTCTCCAGAGTGTTCTGCATGCATTGGCTGAAGCCGTTTGATGCCTTTGTGCCTGGGCAGTCCTGCTGTATGCCAGGTGATAGTCTCATAGATGCTGCATTTTTTTTTTTACTCTTGTCTACCAAAGCTTGCAGAGAGTTCTGTTTTTGAAAGGTTTCTACCTCCAACATTGGAGGTAAGGATCCTTCTGTGCAAATGTCATTGGGGGGAGGTGGGAGAAATGCCAGTCCTTTCACCATGTCATTCGAATTACAATCTGAAAAGAATGGTTGGTTCCATTAGCAATCATGCTGATTGGAGTTGCAGAGGTCCTACTCTGTTGTTACTTCATTGGAGGTGTTATATAGGGCCCACAGCAGGAAAAAGTCTTTGTATCTTCTTGCTTTCAGCAGGAAAAAATGCCATTCTGATGTGGGTGGAGGGAAAGTGGGTGTTTCTCCTTGGCTGGTTAGGAAATACTGCTTTTATGTAATCGCTTTTCACATTCCGGCTGTGTGTGGAAAATAAAGTCTGGGTGTGGGCATAATAGCCTTCCATTAAGAGAACCTGGAATTCAGTGACTGGCACAGCTATTGTATGTTTCTGTGATGAGTAAATGGAAGCCAAACCTGAGGATTTTCTGCATTGTCTTGTCTAAATGGAGCACTGAAAAATCAGTGCCCGTGCTCCTAAAACCAGTGTTCCTCACCAGAAACTGAAACCTCTCTCTCCGGCGTTGGGAAGTATTCAAAAGATTTTAAGTCTATAATTTTTGATAGAGATTGCAGTTGGTCTTTGGATCCCACGTGTCCTGCACCTTCATAGAGTTGTGCATTTTCCTCTTTGCCTCCTTATCCCAATGGACTCTGTCTTTGTTCTTTGCCCTTCTTTTATTTCCACATTTTCAGCACCTCCACTCCATTGACTTGTTCTTGGTTGCCTTGTGAGATCCTTTTCTGCTGGTTTGTCAGGGCTCTCTCTCTGACTTCATGCTGCACAATCTGATCTCATCAGGTCCATCCTGCTTTCTCTTCCTCTGCTCCAGAGTAGAAACCGCTTCCAGGAAATAAAGGTTACGATGCTCTGGCATGGCCCGGCAGAGGTGAGAGCACGTGGTTTTGGGGAAAGTGCAGGCTGAGGCATAGTCTCTGTTACCAGCTTCCTGGTGAATTGTCACATCACAGGCCCCTGGAGGCTTTGGACTTGGGGGGGGTGTGTGTGTTCAGTGCTCCAAGGGGAGCTTGCCACAGGCGGGCAAGAGATGGGCTGAGAGGCTGACATGGGCTCAGGGGTGGAGTACATGGATATTGCTATTCCATTTAACCAACAAGGGATTAGGTATTGCAGCACCCAGTATGCACGTAGAGGGACAGAGTTCTACATTTGTGGTCAGAAAATGTTAATTGCTTGGTCTATCTAGGCGTAATGCTGAGAGAAAATAGGAGTGTGCTGCTGCTTGGTGCAAACCCTAAGGCTTGCTAGCTTAAAATTGAAAGCTCAGCTGTAACCCTTGAGTTACCAGGCACGCCAGAAGCTGAAGAAAAACCTCTGATGTTACTGCTAAAAGCTGCATTTTGAGGAGGGCAGCACAGCTCTCTGAACTGACTAGCCCCAAGCTGCAGTCTCACTGGAGCCCCTTGTTTCACTCTCCAAACCAGGTGGCTTGCTAACTTCTCAAGGGGGGCCCCCTGCGAGCAGTCTGCTTGCTGAAAAGACCCCAGCAAGCCAGGACGTGCGGAGTCAAGCGTTTCCTGAAATCAAGGGCATACGGTGATGCTTGGCAGTGTATGGATGAGCACTGCGGTTCTGTGACTTAGTGTCACATATTGATCAGTTGTCCTCCAGTGTGGTTTTTGTCCTTAAAAGCTTTTGCCACCACTGAACACTGCTTTAATGTGTTCTAAATTTGGAATTGAGTTTTTTTTTCTGTGTGGTCCTTGATAGGAAAACGTAATTTCTATAAAATTGAACAGAAATCCCTTTGGCCTGGCAGGAGTTGAGGAGGCTTTTAAATACTGAGCTCTACACTCCAACTTTATTGCTCTGTTTTCTTATATCTTGCTGTATTTTGTGGATTATGAACATTGCTTGAAGATAACAATGTTCTGCAAAACAAAACCAACTGACTGTGTATTGTGACAGGAACTGTAGGTAGTGAGGAGACTTCCTTTTTGGAAAACTGCTGGTAAGATTGAGTGAGCCAGACAGGTCATAAGTATCTTGAAGTGCCATTGCTTTTGCAGAAAGTCATGGTTCAATGCCAAAACAAAAATTACCTTAATGCCTTGCTTTGCTCGATTATTATGCATGTGCTGCTGGGTCTATCATATTTCTCACTTTTTGCCTTTCATAATTTAAAATCAATTACTTCTATATTTATTGGTTTTTAATTAAAAAAAAATAATTATTTTTCAGCAATTGATTTTGTCCTGGCAAATAACAAAACTTGTTTGTTGATGTCTGTATTGGAAATTCAAAATCTAATTGAAACTCTTTAATATAATTTTGCTCTCTGATAATACAAATTGTAAATGTTTTTTAACAGCCTTAATCTGAAAGCTTTATACTCTCTTCAGAATGAAATATGTTTACCTTAATGTTACTATTTTACATGAACATATTGCCAGCAGGCCATCATGGACCTGGGAAAAATACTGCTGGTGACACAGAAATCTAGAGAAGGCCTAGTTTTGATTTGCCTGGCTCCTAATGATGGATGGTATTGCTGCTTCTAGAGTGGATTTTCATTAAATGCTTCATGCAGCTTAGTAAAATGTCATAGTTGTATGCTTTTACTTCAGATAATGTGCAATATGACACTCTGGGATTGTTCACCTTCTTGCCATTGTGCATGAGTGAAGGAGGGTGACTTCCTTAGCTTAGGAAGAGGGTGCCCTTATATTCACGTAGTTTTTTTGAATGGAAACTGGAGTTAAGATTGTCTTGTGAAATACTAGGGTCAAAATGAATTCAGCAAAGCAAAATATGCTCCTTGGATCATGCTAAAGATGACTTCAAAACTAATGCCTTTATTTGGAAGCTTCTCTGTGTTATAACACAACAAATAGTAAAGACATAAACATAAAGAAAATAGTACAGTCATTTACTGTTATCAGTTTGATCCGTATCAGCACACGTGATCAGTGCTCTCTTTGTGGGGAGTTTAAAAACTCACTTTAGTCATTTTAACTTTTCACAATTTTTGGTTGAGTCTTCTTATCCATGCTGTTCTCACACAAGTTAGTTGGCATTAGGAGACCCTCTGACAAAGTGAGCTGATTAAGGATAGATTGTCATTGTCAATGGCAGACGTGTTTTTCTGGTACTAGAGACACTGTAGCTCCTCAGTAGTGTGGAAGTTTCGAGAATGAAAGTGAAGAGTAGGTGCTGTGATGAATTTTATGCTAAGATTCATTGCTGGCTTGGAGGGTGGAAATCCTTCAGTTACCTCAGTAAAGATCCCATTGTAAATGGAGAAACTTGAGCATTGTCTCTCCCAAATTACCCAGCTTGTATCTAGTCCTGTGGTTCTCTGTGGGTGTAGATGTTGGCTATGGACCTATTTGATTTACTAGGAACTGATTACTTGCGTGCTTTCTTCCCTCTTCAACCTAGCCTTTACTTCTGCTAAGGTTATTTGTTTGTTTTTCAGATGAGACCCTTTTTGCTCTTCCTGCTACATCTGCGCCTCTGATGCACTCCTCTGCAGGCAAGTTCTTTCTGCTCACCTTTGTCTGAATATATCCTGCATTTCTGATCTCATTAACCCTTTGCAATTAGTCTGCCTTTACTAAAAGTCAGCACGGGTCCAAGAATAGCCTCTATCACATTTTTCAGTTTTGACTTTTCAGCTGATCTGTTCAAGATTTTAATATGCATTAATTTCTTTACATGGTAACTGTTATATAAACAAGCTACAGCCATCTGTGAATTCTTGGACCCTTGATATAGGAGAGAAGTTGATACTATTAACAGGTTAACACATCAAAGCATAGTCGTTTTACTGATTTAGCAGAAAGATTTAATCCATAGTAACTTTCTGCAGTATTTTATGTAAGTAAAATTTGTACCTGTAGTATTTATTTAGTGTTTTTTGTTAGCTACCCTGTCCACCAAATTTCCATTTAAAAGAAGTGTCAAAAAGACTTCTTACCGGCATGCACGCTTGTGCATATATTTATGCACAAGCAAATACACATACTCTCTCTCTGTCTCACCACTGCCACTGCACCCTCCCTCTCTCACTTTGTTAATATTGCCTGCTGTACTTGGATGCTCTGTACTTGTCTGGCATCTTCATCTTTACTGTGATCTTTGCGCTGCATAAAGTTGCTGCTTCTCTAGCCTCTTGCATACTTCTTTGCTAGAAGAGGTGAAACATAATAGCATACTTTTAACTAATACTTTATTTTAATGCCTGATAGTATTTATGATAGAACTTGGAAGAAACTCTTAATAACTAACATCATGTGAACCTGTCATGAAAGTTTGCATTGACTTTAAGAGCACTTGCATTCTCTAACTTTCCTTTCTGTCCACGGTCACAGAAAAAGTTATGGACTTGCAGGAGCAGCCAGGTAGCACTAAGTCGCTTGGTCAAGAGGATTTTACTGCAGTCCCGCTTGATACTGCTCCTTCTCTTCCCTCCTTCTCTCCTATCTCAGCTGATCCCTTTAAAGAGCACTCAGCCTTTGATACATGCTCAGATGAATTACCTGCAAGAGGCATTTACAAAGAAAATGCAAGTGAGGTTTATAAAGAAACTATGGAAATGGCAAGAAATCCATTTCTTGCAAAGGGAAATGGAAAAGACGTTTCAGAAACTAAATACTCAGAACCCCCATTTGTTAAAGCAGAAGCAGCCATTTTATCTCAAGCTAAAGAAACACAGCTAGAGGGCCCTAAAGAATTACCTAATCTGGAGAAAATGCCTGCAGAGCAGCTGAAAATCTCTCCAGAAACTCCTCAAGATTTGTTTGAGAAAAATGTGGAAGATCTCTTTTATAACAAAGACAAATACAGAGGTGGTGATCATGGTGAAAAGGAGGCATTGAAAGAAGATCCTCTTAAGAGGGAAGAATATGCAGACTTCAAACCCTTTGAGCCGATATGGGAAGTAAAAGGTGCTAGTCATGGACTGAGCAGCGTGAGAGAGGATGTTGGAAGTAAGATAGATGCCAAACTAGAAAGCAGTTTAGATGACAAATATAGTGTAGATAAACTGAATGTGCAGAAGGATTACGAAAGAGAGAGTGAAGGCAGCCCCGAAGAGCACTCTTTCCCAAGTACCCCAGAAGCTGTAAAAGAACCTTCGCAGACTTACATAACTTGTACTAAATTTGAATCCTCTGTAAGTCCTGATGGTAACAAAGTCAAATCTCTTTCTCCACTAGAGGAAGGCACTTCAGAAAATAGAACCGATGATGAGAAAAAAATTGCAGAAATGAAAGCTCAGATGAGCACAGAACAAGGTGATTTTAGCACTCTAGCAGTTGGCAAGCAGGAAGGTCAGGAAGCTGACTATGCTAAAACAGAGGGTATATCAACAGTGCCATCTGACACTGCAGCAAATATGCCTGAAGGTCTTACTCCTGATCTAGTACAAGAAGCATATGAAAGTGAAATGCATGATGCGGCATGTACAAAACTTGCTTATGAAACAAAGATAGATTTAGTTCAAACCTCTGAGTCAGTACAAGAGACTCTGAAACCCGTGACACAACTCTGTCCCTCATTTGAAGGGTCGGAAGCTACTCCATCACCAATATTGCCAGATATTGTTATGGAAGCCCCACTAAGCACTGGGACTGCTGGTGCAGAACCATCTGCTGCACAGCTCGAAGCTTCCCCATTAGAAACATTTATTCCTACTGCTAATTATGAGAATGTAAAAGAGTTTGAGAAACCTCCCTTATACCAAGAGGCAGTGAGTGTACCACTGACACAGGCCCAAGAAGAAAAAGAGGCATTAGCATTTAAAAAACCTGACCGTGAGAGTAGTGCCAGTCCTGAAGATCTAGAGACTTCATATATATCTATTGCATGTGACTTAATTAAGGAAACAAAGGTCTCTGGAGAATCTACTTCTCCATCCTTTACAGATTATTCTAAGACACTGATAACAGAATGCATTTCTCAGGATGTGCCTGAACACAAGGAACTTGCTGAAAAACTGTCTCCGCAGTTTGGAAAATCGGACTTGTTTAATAGCCAGCTGATACCTGACTTTACTGAGAAAATGAATGAAGATCCATCTCTCGTCTTAAAAAGTAAATCAACGGAGAATATTGTAGCTGATGATGAACATGAGGAACGACTGGTGGAATCAGTAGCTGCCACAGGCAAGCCTTATCTGGAGTCTTTCCAACCCAAACTGGACTCTTCCAAAATTATTGCTGTTCTGCCGTCTGAGCCAACACCTACAAAAATAGCCAAGGCAGAGAAGATTCCTCTTCAAATGGAAGAGCTGAATGCTATGGCTTATGCAGCTGATGCATCTGTTGCTACGGAACCAAAACCAGGAGACAACAAAGGGCTCTCACCCATGGAGTGTTCCCCAGTCACAGTGGAAGATTTTGTGATGTTAGCTCATCCTAAAACTGCTCCTGAATTTATGGCAGAAGTGACTGACAGAGAAGTAGTGCATGAAGATGAAAGCGAGGAGGTCAGTAAGGTGATCCAAGGTGAGAAGAGGCAGTTGCCTTGCCCAGAGCTACCCTGTGATCTGTCTATAAAGAATGTAGAAGTAAAAGCTGAGGAAGATACTAATGCCTTGAAAAAGTCCTTGGAGGCTGTAGACAGAGAAGTGCCTGAAGTATCCATGATGTCCTTACCGGCTAGAGATACCTCACCTTTATCTGCTGAAAAAGAGATAGTCAGTGTAGTAAAACCAGAAGCTTTTGAGAAGGAAGCTGAGCGAGAAGCTGCTTCTGTTAAAGAAAAGGAAAAACCTACTGCTGTATTTTCAGCAAAGCTGAATAAATCTTCAGGTAATCTGTGTACGCTGTCTTGCACTTCACTAATCTGCATAAATCTTTAGCTAAACTTGAGCATGTCATAACTTATTATTTTAAAATCACTTCCTGTAAACTTCTCTGTGTAGGCCAAGGGTAACAGAAAATGTCAGTGCTTGCACTTTTACCTTTTTCATGTTCTGATTGCTGTAGTACTTTTTTTTTCTGTTTATCAGGGATGGACTCACTGTCTCCAGTTTTCTCCTTCAGTTCTCCTGCGAGTGATCTGTTGATACAGAAATAAGTCACTACTCACTACAGGCTCTTCTGTGGTTGTTTACAGACTGGGTATTAGAGGGTCTTCCAAACTTGCTTTTAATATGTGAGAGTAAGCCAAAGATGGTGTTTCGGTCTGCGTGTATGTGATTTGAAGAGGCATTTCCTTCTTTTCATATACAGTTCAGACACCAGACTTTGAAACTTGGGAAAATACCCTCGCTGCTACTGTGTGTGTCTGGAAAAGAACCTGCACATCTTCACTCATGTGACTTGCAGCTTGCATTAGATCAAGGCCAGTGGTTTAAAATAAATAGTGCACAAGGGAGTTTAGTATTCCAGTTACTAGGAAAGTGGCCATTAAGAAGGCGAGTATCTTGCACGCATTAAAATTGGTTTATACACATCACAGATAATAATTTCCATTTCTCTTTTCAGGTGGGGCTTACACTTCGGGGTAGTTAATTTTTTTCTTCTAGTAAAGTGTAGTTAAAATAGCAGAAAGTTGAAGGAAGGGTAAGACCCTTGTTGTGTTGCATTCTGTTCTCCAAACTAAATGCCTCATGAAATTCAGCTCTTTATAGACCAGAGTACTTTGCTTTTTGATAGCACAGCACTCTGCTGCTACTTAAGTCTTGCACCAGAAGCATTCATGCTAAAAAACAGCTACTGCAGAATGCACAATGAGTCTATTCTAAACAGGAAACCAAATGTTAGTTCGACTCGGGAGTCGTATATTTGTGCAGTAGCTGCAGTCTACAGTTCATAAAATGCTATAGTCCTAATATGTCTTCTACATTCAAATGTGTTTTGGAAGGGAGTAGCAGGTGGATGTTGAGGGGAACATCAGAGTGTTGGTGCAGTTGAAATAAGGTTTGGAAAATAACGTAGAAAATGCAGTTTTTATGTTTAACTTTGCATGATGTTTACCATTTGTCTTGTCTCACCTCTTCTATACATACAGGTAGGCAGAAAGGAGAGAGTTCCCCTTTTCCCTTGTGATACCTGCACTGTTAAAACACTGCTTTGTGTGTGCTGTGAAGACTTCTCTCCTTGTGGTCAGACTTCCAGCATATAGTACTGTCTGGAGAACAGCTGCTGTGTATTATAAACTGCATGTCAAGGGGTTAATCGTTTAGAGATCAGACTACTTTTTTTTAAAAAAAAAAAAAAAAAGAAGAACATTACACTTGATATACCAGCTTTTTTGTTAGTTCTTTTAACAGGAAGCCTTTGCAGAGGTGTCTTTAATCATTGCATGGATGTAGCAGACCGGGGGTGGCAAATCACTGCCTTGGGAAGGAAGACTCTTACTTTGGGTCTGAGAAGGACGCAGCTGCTGCTCTTCAGTCTGTGGGAAGCTGCCAGAGAAGCTGCACATAAACCCATTTGCCATAGCAGGAGAGGAGGGAGTTAAAGGGTGTCTTCATTCTGCAATTTAATGGCACAGTGCTGGGACAGGGCACATATCTGTCCAGCATCGCATCGGTGTTAATTGAGGGTTGTGGGAAACTGGGGGACTGTCTGCAGTCTTTCAGTCTTTCTGTCAGTGTTGTGCTCACTTTGGAAAGCTATTGCAATTTTAAATTTTGATGTGTTGTTTGGGAAGAAAAATACAATTTTTTTGCTTTACTGGGGAAGAATACCTTCTTTAATGCTAAACAGATGAGAATGCTAACTCAAAAACATAGTCCATTTTTTTTCTAGGTTGTTTTTCCCCCCACCCAAACTGTGCTGTTTACTTTTTTTGCTCACTTCTGCTGTGGTACAGAATACAGAACTGGACTTCTGAGACCCACTGGAAGAGTCTAATGACAAGCTGTGAACAAAATCAGTTGTCTGCTTTTAATAGCACACTGCTTAAGCACAGTTTCAAAGCAGCATCAAAGAACTAACACGTACACTTGTCTTCCACACTCTCAGAAAGGAGGGATAATTCATCACAAGGCCAAGAAGCAGATCTGTTCATGTGTTTGGCCTTCTGAGTCTACTTTTATTTTGTGGTTGGTTGGTTTTGTTTTTTTTTTTTTTTTTTTTCCCGTCTTCCCATCCGTGGAACTGAAATAGATTTTACTGTGCCTTAAGACTTCTGGAAATCAGTTGGTGTGATTGTATGACTGATGCTTGTTAAAACATTAATCTGAACTCGAAAGCTAACCTAAATGCCAACATGTCTGTGTACCTGAACGTGTAACTCTCAACCGTACCAGTGGACTGCAGGCAGCTAATGGAAATCCGAAAAGGGTTGCAGATTTTTTTTTTTTTTTTTTTAAACAACACCTCTCCAGCCATACGAATGTAAAGCTTTGAACTGCCTCTGGGGTAGAATGATGTTTGTTCAATGCTGCCTGGCTGACCCTTGGGTAACCTGTTTTGGTTTTGTAATGGTATCGGATCCCAGGGACCATGGCTGCACACACTTAAAAAAAAAAAAAAAAAAAAAAAAAAAACCAACAAAACCAGAAAACCCAAATTGAGAACTGTAGCTAACTATGAAGAAATGCCTCTCTGTGTAAGAAGCTCCTATTTGTAACAATTTCAACAGCAAATACCGCCCTGTAACACCAGCAGTTCTTACTGTCTTGGATACAGTGATCCTTTTTTTTTTTTAAATTTTCTTTCTCTTTCTTAGTGCTTGCTGTACCCTAGCAGATAGTTCTGCTGCTTCACTCTGCTTACTGGCCTTCAAAATACACATCTCTGATCTCCATAAAAACACTGCCTATTGAGATGTGACTTCAGAGTGTCTGTTTCCTGGCTGTTCAGATGCTGCTGAGGTGTGGAACAGCCCCAGCTTCTGCCAGGGCTTGTGCTGGTGGGGTGCGTGCCCATCATGACAGTGCAGCAGGGACCAGGGGTCGTTGGTCAGGGTGTGCTCCAAAAGGAGGGCTTTGATGCCATCTAGTGTCTAGGAATGATCTGGAACTCCAGTACACAGTGCCTTTCAGAGGGTTGCAGCCCAGCTTTTGAGAAACTGAACTCTTGAAATTAGTTTCCTATTCTTAGAGTTGAAAGCTAAATATACCTATTACATATCTTAGCCCTTCTGTCGTACAGACTTCATTGACTTATGACCCCTTACTTTTGGATAGAAATCATTAATTCTCCCAGATAGGCTGTAAGCCCCATGCTTTCCATAAGCCTTTTTTTGATTGGTGCGATGTGGAGGATTTCATATTATTGAATTACCAATCAAAGTATATTGTAGAACCCTCCAAAATCTAGACCTCTGACCGTGACAGAAAGTTACATACCAAAGTGTAACCACATTGGCAGTTTAAATCTCTCAGTATATTCATGTTGAGCAGTGCAATAGTATTTGAAAATGGTATTGTGATCTTTACTCTCAAGGAAGGCAGTTTCACAGGACGCCCTTTTTTCGTGGTGGTTTTGAACATCAGCCTCTGTAGGCATTCAGGTTAAATCTTACAGGTTTACAGATCTCTTGTTTTCATATATGCTACAAGGCACTCTGTAATTGAATTGCAGAAATGCAGCTTATTACTAGTATCTTACATTTCTGGGATTTTCTTGAGGGGGCAAATTCAAAAGTGAAGCATACTTTGAGAGGGTGGCTGAGTGATACTAGCGATGAAGCTTTTCTTTTTACTCCCAAATTATGGGGGCAGAAATAAAATACTTCCTGTGATTCTGTAACAGCAAGCAAGGTCATTACAGTTATGTGACGCTTAAAAGAAGTTAGAAATGCTGCCTTACACCAGCACTGTACCCATTTGGTTAATTTTTGTTAGTTTCTCTATTTGTAGTTAGCTAAAAAGAGCCATTCAGCAGATGGGGAGTGTTTGGTTTGGTTTGGTTTTTCATTAGGGAAAATGCCTCTGGACTTTCTTTCAGGAACAAATTACTTGTAAAACATAATTTAATTGAACATAAAATCTTTATTTTAACTTCATCTGATTGTGTTATTAGATTCTTTGATTGTTCAGGTTGCCTCTTATGCTACCAGATAAATAATAATAATAAATGGAGACTTCTGTTCCAGGGTGGAGAATTTGTGAAGGAGTAGGAGGAATGAGGGGAAAGAAACCCAACCAAACAATCTTGAGTGAAATTTTCTGAAGGAAAGACCTAAACCTGCTGTGTTTTGTTAGAGCTCTCAGGTCACCCGTGTTGAAAAGCGAAGGCTTGTATAGCAAAGGCCACTAACAGAGCAAAGCCTCCAGAAAGTTACTTGCAGAGTGGTAGAATTATGGAAAGAATGGATCATTTTTGGTAAGTTATCAATTCTCCCAGACACAGACAGGCAGCCAGAATTGAATGAGGCTTCAGGCGAGAGCAGAATTAGGTGGTCATCCAAAATGCTCTCCTGTGGGAAGTCAGGAACGCTCTTCCGTGCCAAAATACTGTTGTCAGTCCACCTGCCCAGGGTGATTTAATGTCTGTGTAGCAAGTAAAGCACGGAGCCCCTCTGAACGTAGGTGCATTCAACAGAGGAATACATTTAGTTTTGGTTGTTTGGGAGACCTGATAATACCATCTTGTAAGTAGCCTGACAGTGGATTTTGTTTAAATGTTGATGTAGAAACAGGAATGAAATTTCCCTAATGAAACAATACAGGTTACAGGGAAGTTTGTTGACAGTACTGGTACTCAGTTTCTATGTAGAATAGGGTTACGTGGGTGTATGTTGCCTGAAGTAAGAGATGTGAGTAGAGAGGGTTACAGACTTCATTTTAGGTATCATTTGCATGGACCGGTAAGGGTGAACACTGAGTTTACAAAGAGTAAAGGTGGAAGATCTTGAGGGCAGGGAGGAACTCCTGTGGAGGGAGTGGGTGGCTCGTTCGAGATGGGAGGATAGGGACTGGTAATGCAGCCGTGCGTGTCCATGTTCTGGCTGCTGCTGATTTGCTGCGGCTGCAACAAAATGTCTGTTTAGCAATGTGTTGCATAAATGTACTATTTTAAGTATGCAATATAAGGAATATGAGGCAGAAATTCAGAGGTTTTAACTGTGTGCCTTTAGCAACTTGACAAATAATGGAAAAA